GGGGGTCTGCTTTCATGCTCCAACCTTCTGCCTAGTTGGCCTGGGTGTGTTTTTTTTTTTTTTTTTGTCGATATGTTGCATTTCTTTAAGTAATGTAAAGCCTTCTTTAGGCTGTTTACAATTTTTCTTGTCTGACTTTGACATTTATAGGCCTGATGTTGCGCATAGTGTATTTTTCAGAGATAAGTTTTCTTAGTGGAAAATGTTTGATTTTTAACTTTGAGATACCTCATATGAAAATGTCCTAATGATTTTTCAAAGTCAGACAATCTTCTTGACCAATGATTTGATTGACTATATGACTATTGACAATTTTTCTATTTTTTCTTTGAAAAAAATTTAATATCATTTTTCCTTTTTTTTTCTTTTTTTTCTATGTCCAGAAAACTGGACGCCTTCATCTATGATGCGGCGGTTCTTAATTACATGGCCGGCAAGGACGACGGCTGCAAGCTTGTGACCATTGGCAGTGGTAAAGTGTTCGCTACCACGGGTTACGGCATCGCCTTGCAAAAGGATTCACGCTGGAAAAGACCAATTGATCTGGCTCTACTTCAATTCCTAGCTGATGGTAAAGTAGTGCTACACAGACTCCAAATTGATACGATCAATATCATTATTTAGACATGTATGTCAACAAAGAGTTAGAGCTTGTTATGCAATGGCAATATAATAAGCCAATATTGCATTTTGTTCTTCAGTGAGTTATCCATAATAAGTTAACACTTAACTTTGTTGTCAGGATAGTCATAAACAGAATAGGTAAACAATCTCAAGTTAGCCAAAAGTAAATTAAAATTCCGCCTTAATGTGCCAAAGAAAAAGTCAAAACGTATTCGACATAACCTTAAAAATCCTTTTTTTATTTTTGTAATGTATTGTAAAAAAAAAAAGCTAAAAAAACTCAATTAAAAGAAATGTAAAAATCATAGTCAGAAAAATCTTGGTAAAGTAAGGAAAAAAATATTTATAGTTAGTCAACAAGTTTAATGAAAAGGTCATTTCACTTGGGGTGTTTTTTTTTAACTTTCTATAAATGTCTCATCTAAAAACAAATTGTTTGAAAAGGGAGGCGTTTGACAATTGAGGTTGTCCACTGTATTTTCTTATATGTACAAAACCACTGTATGAGTTGCTGCCACCTAGTGACTGGAGGTATGTTTGTTTATCGCTCAAGCATTATAGCAACGGCACACTTCGGTCCAGCGTGCCATATTCCATTGGAATCCTCTCATGTCCAACCCCTCCTGCCCCCACCCCAAAATTTCACCTCACCCCCTTTATGGGGGACTGTCCCACTATTTGAGAAGTACTGCTTTACAGGAACCAGTTCTTGATTTGCATTCCTACTCACGGAAAGATAAACTAGACACTCAGTGCTCCGTCCTACTCACGGAAAGATAAACTAGACACCGCCTCTGCTTTCCTCTAAGGTGACTCCCAGAAGCTCCAGACTGTTTGGCTGACAGGAATCTGCCGTAACGAGAAGAAGGAGGTGATGAGCAGTAAGCTTGACATTGACAACATGGCGGGGGTGTTCTACATGCTGCTCGTGGCCATGGGTCTGAGTCTCTTGGTGTTTTCCTGGGAACATCTACTCTACTGGAAACTTCGTCATTCCGTTAAAAAATCTGAAAGGTTGGATTTCCTTCTGGCCATCAGCAGAGTAAGTGATCCTTATTTAATGGCCAAGACTTTGAACTCTCTTTAAATGGGCATCAAATATAAAAGTCAGTTGTTATCTTTTGCTTTTTTTGCAGGGGATCTACAGCTGTTTCAACGGAATAGAGCTAACTGAGTCCAATGGAAGCATACAGAGTCTCGATGTCCCCCCCAACTACACACATGTCAACATGTTAAAGATGCTGAAGACCGCCAAGGACATGGTGTCCTCTGCGCAGGTGGCAAACTCTTTAGACAATGCAACCAAAACTATAGAGGAGTGGAGCAGGGGGAGAGAAAACACAGCACAAAATGGGTTTCCACCCGCAGTGGTAACAAAAGGTATGACCTACACCCACGTACCCCATATCTCCAGCATCACAGACAAACAGATGTTGTGTCCACAAAGGTCCCTTACACCCACATTTCCAGTCCTGGAGAAGCCCCACATGATGACTAGGCCCACTCCGCTCTGCTACACACTGCCGGCTCGTACTAGTCACCATGTCTTGGAAACTACTCAGCCCGTCTCAAGCCTCAGTAGCCCTCACATTGCTATGAATGATCAATCGTCTACATGTACACCCAACCCCCAACACGGTAGCCGGGTGTATATCGAGAACCAGGCAACCCAGCTTCCCCTTTCACACTTTGTCCACCGCAGAAAGCTTCAGGTATCGGATCTGTACTTGGAGCACAAAGGGCCATTGAGGAGAAAATTCAGTTACCCCCATGACGTAGGAAGCAGGCAAAGGAGGCCCCATAGTTACGTGTTTGATGGTGCAGACCCAAGAGTAAGAGGTGACTACGATGACCCCCGACCCAGCCTTGATGAATTGAGAGCCAGTCCTCTACTGAACCACCGGACCTCTGATGCTTCTGCGTCGTGCATAGCAAGACACTACCCAAGCAGAGGTTGTAGCTGTAGCTTCTGTGTGAAGTCATATTTGGGGCCAAACATGGGGAATGACCTGCTACTCAGAAGGAAAAAACTCCATCATCGCACCCCCTTTCTCAGAGCCACGTGGGACAGTGACAGAATCTGTCGGGTTGATGAAACAAAGACAACTAGATGCGCATCTACCCCTACTTGCAAAGACATTCCTGACATGTTTCCCCGGGTGGTTATCACCAACCCCAAAACCCAAAAGATATACGGCGCTCTGGGGAACAGCCTCTCCTACTATCCCTTGGCCGCAAAACCTGTTTACTCCGAATCAGCTCACATGTGCAAGCAAAAGATCAAGCACTGTAAGTCCATCCGGCTGCCCTCCTACAGGGAAGCCGTCCGGCAGACCGTCCCTGAGCTGCACCATTCTCCCTCTTCTCTGTCACACAGAAACTTCCACCCCAATCTGAACTCATACACAGACTTACCGGCATATGTGGGCCCACTAGCACCAGCAGCAAATTACATGTGTGACGGCTCTAATAATATGTGTCACCTTTTCCCCTGTACGAGTGCCTGTCCCGAACATGCAGCAATGGTTCCTCGCGTGGGCAATAGGCAGGTTGGTCACCATGACAACGTGATCAACACTTACGACGGATGGAGGAATAGGGACCTTGGCCCTGGGGTCACAGACCAGAGGCAGGTGGTTGTAGCTCAAAGAGTTAACAGTCCATATGTGGCAAAACTCTGGGGTAGAATGTCCAGCCCAGATTCAGAAGTTTGAGTTGCTATTCATACAGTACATATATATATTTATATATATATATAGATAGTGTATAAAAATGGCTGAGTTCATTCAGTCCTAAGTAAAGCTCCACAGGCAGAGGTGGAAAAAGTAATTAAGTAAAAGTATCTTTACTTTGTTTAAATTCTACTCAAGTAAACGTACCCATCTAAAAATGTACTTGAGTGAAAGTAAAATATGGACTTCATTTAAAATGTACTTTGAGTAAAAGTTACTTAGTTATTACCCTGTAATAATAATTATTTCTGGCACATACAAAAAGTAGACACTCGATTCTTACCATCGTCATTGCACCCGTTTGAATATCATTGCAAGTGGAACTGATTCAAAAAGCACAGTAACAGTACAATTTTCTGACCCTCTTGTTGACTAGTTTTAATTTTAGCACATACCCCGCGGGCACCTTAGGCAATCCATACCAAGTGCACCAAGTTGGTGACCTCTGGGCTAGAGCCTGCCTCTTGGTCAAAGTTCTCTGGCTACATTTAAAAAACTGGGAAACGCAATTTTCTTTCAGTTAACGCAGATTGTTTTGGCACGCATTTCATTTTTTACTTCTTTTCCAATGTAGCAAAGTATATGAGTCACAATGTACTTAAGTAAAAGTAAAAGTTACCTATTCCCAAAACTACTACATTACAAGTTACTCATAAAGCTACTCAATTAGAGTAAGTTGAGTAAAATGCAATTTGTTACTTTCCACCTCTGCCCACAGCTATGTATGCTAGAAATAAATGATCAACATACTTTGTTTCGTTGAGTTCAAAGCCACTCTTTTCAAGGTGTAAAACCAGGAACACTTGTAAAATGTAAAAAAGTGAGTTGGCATGTAAAACCGGCGTCGCCAAGTTTGTAACAATGCATATCGCTGTGGCTAGGTTTGTCCTGCGAAGTTTATGATCTCAATTGCTAGTCTCATGTCATTTAGTAGACGTTCACTTCTTAGATGTGGTGTGTACCACAAAGCAAAATAGGTTCGGCCTAAATACAGGTCCGTTGAAGTGGAAAACGGGGGCAACGATCGACCCACTCTCAGGAGAGTAGTTCATGTTTCAGTATGTAAAATGTTGTGGGTTAGAGGGGGATAGCGCTTACTCATGAAATACTTAAATAATATGTAGCCCAAGTAGCAATTTTTACCTCTGATTTGAATAGCCTTGGCTGACCCAAGAGTGTTTTCAGAGGGTAAACTCTATACTGCAATATATAAAGTTAAAGTTTTAGACATCTTAAGGAAATCAGGAACTGTATAAACCAACCTGTGATACAAGGAAAAAGAGGTAGAAAAAGTTTAAATCAGGCATGGGCAAACTAAGATCCGGGCGCGGACTGTTCAGCTTTTTCATTTAGTTCACACCAACACTCCATCTATCCGCTCCTGACCCGCCCTCTCCCCCGCCCCCCCCGTACAATTTTAATTAAAGTTTGCCCACACCTGGTTTAAACTATACAATATGAGGTATGAGTGTTATTTAGAGTATATTTTTAATGGTGTCGGAATGTGAAAGAATTCAAGGAGACTATACTATATACTGTAGCTCCTCGGTCAGTACTTTAGATCAGCGGTCCCCAACCTTTTTTGTACCAAGGACTGGTCGGCCAGTATCAGCAATACTGCATCATCACTGAAGGATGATTACATTTTCAAAATAAATTGTCTCATAGACTTTCTTCTGTTAGTATCAGAGTCTGAATGACCTGTTGTTTTGAAACATTGCCAGATTATCTTGTAATGAAAAAGTAAAGGGATATGAACGGATTCTTTTTGAATGAAGTAAACTAGTAAAACTGAAGTACATTTTTTCCATTCTGTCCAACTGTGGCCCAGTACCAAATGACCTACAAACCCGGACCGGGGGTTGGGGATCCCTGCTTTAGATATTTGAATTGTTTATGAATATATAAATATATATTTTATTTCAGAAACCTATAAAGTATCACATTCATTTTCATTCATTCATTTTTAGATGGTTCAGTAGTAATGAACTATGTCATCTTTTGAAATATTCTGTCATTTCATTTCTGTAAAATATCCTAACACTGAAGTCTGATATGATGTAGCTGTAAATAAAAACAATAATGGTGTATTTTTTATCAATTCCCTTTTGGTGTTGCTTGTTTAGGTTTTCAGGGATTATGAGATGTTACATTCAGGGCCAAAAATTCCAAAAAAAACACCGTAATTTCCGGACTATTGAGCGCTCCTGAATATAAGCCGCACCCGCTAAATTTAAAAAGAAAAACATAATTGTACATATATAGGCCGCGCTTCTCTATAAGCCGCAGGTGTCCACGTCGTAACGTGGGATATTTACACAGAAAGATTTTTTTTTCACTTAGCGGTATGAACTTCGTTAGCCAGTAAAAATCCATAAATTAGCTGCATCGTTGTTTAAGCCGCAGGGTTCAAAGCGTGTGAAAAAAGTAGCGGCTTATAGTGCGGAAATTACGGTAATAGAAAGGTATTTAGCAATATTAGCTACACCTTGGCTAAATGTTTCTTGATTACTTTAGCCATGCTTACAGAACATTTCTTCTGGCTAACTTTACTAAAAATTTCACTGTTATTGTGAAGTTTTTTCTAATCCTATTGTAAGTTGATTTAGGGTTTATTCCAGTTCTTTGGATCTATTATTTTGTCTTATTGTGTAACTTATAATTTTTCTATGCTGATTATAAATATAATGATTATTGAATATTTATTTAGGCTAACTTACGCCTATATGATATTTTTCACATTATAATGTGGGTGGCCTGTAACCTATATCATACTTTCACATAATATAGATGGGAATTTCTTTGCAGTAACTGTACCACAATATAAAGCAATAACAAAATGAAAAGGAAAAAGTTGATATGTTATACAAAAAAAATTTGTCCATGTGTCATTGAACTTCACATTGTCAAAAGTTGTTTCATGTTTTACAGATGCATCTCCCGAGCACCACCCATTTACTTCTCTGCCACTCCTGACTTTCTTGCAGAGCACAACAGTTCATCCATTGGTACCCATCAGTGTTTTCTCTAGATCCACAAAGACACAACAGTGCAATTCCGAATCACGCCACCAACTTTGGGAACCTCTGGCTTAAGTTAAGATCAAGTCTCACATATCGCCATGCTAATGTCAGGTGACACTGTACTTTTGGGAAGAAAAAAGCACAACAAAACCTCTTTTCAATTCCAAGGGAATAGGATGCATTTTACAGGCACACTGCTACAGTAAAAACTGCAATATACCCAGGTTTAGGTGCGATACTTTTCCTTCCACCTACTTTACGAGTTTATGCAAAGCTACATTTGGGGAATATTATATCTATCCCAGAATTGTGTTAAATTACCGTAAAGTTTCAGTGAACCTGAAGTGTTTATTGGGTTGGAATTTTGTGATCAGGCTGTTTCTGCTCAAAATGCTTCCCATGCACCTTAAATGTAGATTCAGTTGTGCAAGTTTGCCTCTTCCTAAGGCTAAATATATGTGAATATGTTCATTCTTGCAATGACAAAAGTGATAATAAAAACAAAATGAGCAAAGGTTTCAATAATAACTAAATAAAAAAGAAGTATATATAATACGTAGTGTTTTTTCTATTTCTATGTTTCTATTTCTATATATGAAGATTCAGTCATCCAGGTCGTGGTCAAGGTTGGAGAGTCCAGTTGCCTAAAGGAACTCTTCAACCCCTCGTATTACTATGGTTTAACTTAGCCAGTACTGAAGTACTACAGTCAGACCTTAGTCCTTTGGGCTTATATACCAGGGTCAGTACCAAGGGTCCTTGTCCTCATTATAGTCTTTCCTGTCCAAAACACATTTTAAATGTTGTTATGAAGGGTTTGTTTAAAGGCCTTAGGTGAGGTTTCAATGTCATCATATAACAAAGATAATATTGGGTAAAGTTAGCTACAAGCTAACGCTAACGCTGGTCTCACACCATGGATTAATGTCAACATACGTTGATCCTATTAAATTCTGGCAGCATTTGACTTTACTTTACTTGTAGTATACTGCAAATGGCAGACATTTAAGAATAAGAGCTGATGCTTTTGGGGGTCATGAGGGGCGCTGGAGCCAATCCCAGCTGCCTATAGGTGAGGACGGGGTACGCAGGTGTCAAACTCAATTTCACAGTGGGCCAAAATTTGTTGTTGTTTTCCCTTCTCTCCAGATATGTGATGTTGAATTTTTTTTCATTTTTTACAGGCCAACAAAAGAACAACCAAAAATATATGTGCTATAATATCGTGCATACATTATTTGTATTATATTATATTATATTATATTATATATATTATATATATATTATATATATATTATATTATTTGATATGGTTTCGCAGGTCAAATAACTCAATTTCACAGTGGGCCAAAATTTGTTGTTGTTTTCCCTTCTCTCCAGATATGTGATGTTGAATTTTTTTTCATTTTTTACAGGCCAACAAAAGAACAACCAAAAATATATGTGCTATAATATCGTGCATACATTATTTGTATTATATTATATTATATTATATTATATATATTATATATATATTATATATATATTATATTATTTGATATGGTTTCGCAGGTCAAATATAATTACAGCATGGGCCAGATTTGGCCCACGGGCCTGGGTTTGACACCTGTGCCATAGACAGTTATGGACCTATGGTCCATTTATAGGTGTCCAATCAACCTACTCCCCCATTAAGCATTGGGCTGTGGGCTGTGGGCCACAAGGGTAGAACATGCAAATTCCATACGGAAAGATCAACCAGGAACGGAAACTTGCATCGGTTATGTCCCTGCAGTGAAGGCAAGCGTTCTACCAACATTTTTGTCAGTGAAAAAAAAAAAAAAGGAAAAACTTTAAAATGATAATACAGCATGAAAAAGCATATCTTGGCAATATATGGCAGCAAAATAGTATAAAGTTAATTTGGTAAAAATGTAACTTTTTCCAGAATATTCCTAAACATAAAAGTCAGCTCGAGAAAATATAAACATCAATTCCAATCTGTTCGAAGGAAGAACTTAACTAAAATAAACCAAAAATGTAATATATTCATTAAATAAAAGAAAATTGATTCATATTTTGCAAAAAGATCAGAGATCAGTGTCTTCCATCAGCAGTTGATCCACGACATCAAATCAACACATTTGTCACTCCTAAAAAAAAAAAAAAAAAATTGGTTATTGAATTTTACACTCCCCCGCTCTTCACGCAGGGACGAATGTATCTCAGCTTTTCCCACTGTTGGACAAATGACCACATCAATCAGCTGTGATGCGTACTGCTCGCAGGACATTATGCTCTACAAACTGAGCTTCATCTGCAGAGGAGAGGAGAGGAAAGCCGTGCCAGAGATGTCAATTACAGGATTATAGGTGCGGTTTCAGAGGATTAGACAGATTATACTGAATTAAACAAACAATAATTGAATTTGTTCTGCTTTTAATTTGAATTTTCATTTGATTTAATTTACTCTAAACAATATGTTGTATCTTAATGGCCACCGTACAAAATGGTTTTATGGCCACAAAACACATTTACAGTTACCATTTTCTGGACCATAGGTGTCACTTTTTTTCATCCTTTAGCTGGGTTTTGCGACTTATACCTCATGCTTATACTTAGACCTATACATTCAAATATATAATTTCACATTTTTGTTAATTTCACGCTAACAGCAGCTAAAGGGAACTCTAGACTACTCCTGTACTCCTGAAAATTTACATGTTCGTTATTTTCACACTGACAGCCACTAGGGGGCACTGGTGTGACTTATACCCCGGAGCGACTCATAGTTCGGAAAATACGGTAGCTGAATCGAATGCATGTGTATCGCAACTCTTTTACTTGTTTCTGGAAAAAAAAATCAAGACCCAAGGGGGAGGCATGACTGAAAATAATGCTAACGCATGGCACTTTCCAGGGTATCTCTAGCCAGGGTATTTAAAAACTATAAGTATAAAACTATACTTAAAGTAAATTTTGGATTTCAAGTTATCTGTGAATTATTATTACTTCTGAATTTAAATGTAGGTTCCTATTAGTCCTCTTAGGTTCTATTTGTGTACACTTTGAAACTGATTTAATCTAAATTGATTTTTAATATTTATATATATATATATGCAAAATTGACTACTACCATCACCTTCTGACCTTCACTATTTCACTTTAGCCCAGTATTTCTCAATTAGTGGGGCAGGCCCCACTTTGGAGGGCAGGGGGGGAAATAGGGGCTGTACATACATATATATATATATATATATATATATATATAAAAAAAAA